ATAGCTTCCTTGTGTTAGGTTATCACACATATTTTAAATTAAAGCTACCACTGACAGAAACAGTCGGCTCTCGTGCCTTTTACATTTAAATCTTTATTACAAACAGTCCAGCGGGTCTTAAAGAACTTTGTTTTTCTACCTCCACAAGACACAAGTGCATATGTTGCCTTTTATATCTAAAAGTGCACTTTTATTTGTTTTAAACCTAGCCAAAAAGCCCGTGAAACACAGTAGACTTTAATTATATCTATTTATTGTGAAATTACAAAATTTCCGTGTCAATCCATGTTCATTTTTACCGCGAACAAAGCGCTGTCACTTTAATTCAGCGCGTGCAGCACAGTGATATAAATAAAAACAGTATTCTTCCACCAAACAATGTAGTTCCTCAGAAACAGTTGTGGTTGCAACAAAGTGGCTGCCGAGCAACACACAAAGTAAACAAAGGTGTATGTTTGTAGAGTAATTTACAACTTCGAACGTGGCTCAACCAATCAGAATCAAGGACCGGAACTATCCGTTTTATAATATTGTTATTAATATTAACAGTATTGATTATTAATGTTATTTATTTGTATTTGTAGTAGTAGCTATTAATCTTCTTAGTTAACCTAAGAAGATTAACTAAGTTAAAATTAACCTGTCACTGCAACCCCTTCAGCTGTGACTTATTCACAATACAGCACGCCTCGAGTACCTTATTGCTTTTATACAACATCTCATCTGCTGTGTCATTTATTTTTTAAACACCATATATGATATTTTTTTCACACACATACATCTGCTTATCTCTCAGCATGAGAAAACATCTGTTTTCTGTCTTTAAAAAAAGACTGAATTGCAGCACAGCGCGAGTTTGCAAGAGTATAGTGTAAATTGATATAAATACAGAATCATACCTGAAACAGAAAACTAATAAATACAGTGATATTCCCTCCTCACGGAAACTGTGGGTTTCCACGCAAACACGTGCATCAATGTATCTCCCGCATGAGAAGAGTTTCTTTGACAGCGGGAAAGGCGTGGCCTCAAAATTAAAGGTGAATGATGCAACATAACACCAGCAGGGGTCACTCATACTTCATTAAATAAATAACAAACAGCTAATTTTATTAAAATACATAATACATGGAATAGTTTTGACACTACTGTATATTGATAGTTTATGTCGCCAAGGATGGTTGCTAAGGGTGTTGCGCAGTGATACACAGAAGCGTTGAGTGAAGCAGTCATAGCCGTGCTTTATCGTGAATAAAACACAGCTGTTGACCAATCAGAATCAAGGACTGGAACTAACCGTTTTATGAGGAAAAACGACACTCTTACTATTGTTTACATGTATATTAAAATTAATGTAAAACTCAACAGATATGACACAGATATGAATTATTCCTAATACAATAATAACTAACTTTGAATAGGTCAGTTTAAATAGGTCCTATTATGCCCTTTCATAAAGTCTTGGGGTGTTTTTTGGGGTGTACCAGAATAGGTTTTCATATTTGACTGTTCCAAAAACGCATTATTTTTCACATATTTCACACTACTGCAGAACCTCTCTTCCCAGTCTCTCACAAACACTCTTGTTTAGTTCCTGTTTCGATGAAACCCCTCCTTCTGAAATACGAAATGTGCTCTGATTGGTTAGCCGGCCCAGTGCCCAATTCAGACCCTGAGAATGTTTACGAACAAGAGGATCGTGCAGAACCTTTGCAAAAATCAGTCACTTATGAGGATCCATCTCTATCCAACCCCGTAAGACCAGTATCATCCATTAATAAAGTAAACAGGGACAATTTTGGATTTGATTTTGGTTTTATAAAAGCAATAAGCCACTTACAGTGATTTTACCATGGTTAAGGGGTGTTAGGCATAAAGTGAATCAGGCAGGGTTTAAATTTGTCCTTTTTCAGATGAATTTACTTTGCGGGACTATCTACAAGCTCCACTCGCCATTTCCCGTTTATCTAGATGTGTTCATCCGCTGAACTCCTGACCCTCCAAGTGTCAGGTCAGGACATCTCCGTTGCCATGGTGATGTTTAATCCCTGTTCCCAGTCATGGTGATTTTTTTACCGGGCCGCTAATGCTGCTTTTCCTCCTCATCCTCCACTGTCATCTAAGCTAAATTAGCAGCGTGAGCCGCAGAGAGGTGGAGAGGTTATCGCTCATGCCTTTATTGAACTACAACTCCCTTGAGCCCACAGTCACACCACCTTACAGCGGACAGTCAAGACCTCACAAAAGTTTATTGATTAAAATAGTGTATTTCCAAAGTAAAAAAAAGACTTGCTATTGTATAAATATATAATTCAAGAAAAGAAGAAATACTTGTGTTTACAATTTGTTTACAATAATGTTTATATTTTCAGTTTAATTTTGGTTGAAGTTCTAGTAATTTTGTTGTGTTTTTGTCATTTATTATTATTATTGTTTTTTTAATCGTTGTGCGTGTGTGTGTATGTAAAGTTTTAGTTTGTAGTTTTCAGCTTGAGTTTATTTAGTTTCTTATATTAGATTTTTTTAGTACTTCAACTTAAACTAAATGAAAAATGTTGCCTTGGCAAATAGCTGAAATAAATGATCTTTGTTT